TTACCCAGCGTAGCCGACGCGACGCGACGAGACGCAGGTTACAATGGAATATACTACTGTGATCAAAAAGTATCCGAACTTTATTTTTAAAAATCAAAATTACAATTAAATCATCAAAATTCTTATAGTCTTCTTCAAAGTAGTCGCCATTGCTTGCAACGCACATATACCAGCGTTTGATCCAGTCCTGGAAACATCGCACATACGCGGCAGACGGTACGGCCTTCAATTCACGCAGCGATTTTTCCCTGATGTTTACAATCGATTCGAAACGCTGTTCACGAAGTGGTTTTTTCAGGTGGAACAGGAAAAGGTGCTTGCGGAGCGACATTCGTTGAGTTTTTGTCAGAAATTCACGCACAAGTGTCGAGGTATGCGATGGTGCGTTGTCGTGATGCAAAAAAAGGAGCGCTGGCACGATCCAAATGATATTCCAACTTCATCTGCTATCTCTCTCACAGTCAATCGACGATTTTGGAGCACCAATTCCTTCACTTTCTCAATGTGAGCGTCATTCGTTGACGTTGATGGTTTTCCAGAGCGTGGGTCGTCTTCAACGGATTCTCGTCCTTCTTGAAACTTCCTAAACCACTCAAACGTACTTGTTTTCGATAAACAATCATCGCCATAAGCTTTTTGCAACATTTCGAATACGTTTGTGAACGAAATTTCGTTCGCAACACAAAATTTCGAACAAATTCTTCGCTCCGTATTTTTCAACATCATAAAAATCGCCGTGCACAACAATCTTCACTGACATAAACAACCGCCACTTTCAAGCTTGAAGAAACGCCATGATTTTTTCACCAAATGTGAAGGACATGTATACCAACTTAAAAAAGCAAACGGATTTGATTTACAGTTTATCCGCGATTTAAGAAAAATAAAGTTCGGATACTTTTTGATCACAGTAGTATTATTCACCTACATACACATGACGCAGAATCGTGTAACATTCCACGACGCGTAACCCGTTATAACTCGACGAACACATGCCTTCGAATGCATGCCTATATAGTTAGTCTAATGGGGCTCGCAATTATTTAAATAACATCTTTACTGCCGTGACGGCGATTTCGTCGTGCGAACGCGGCGCACGCTGGATACGTTCCCGGACAAATGACCCCTCCGCGACCACTGTCATTTTCGTGATCGTGTGTGAAGAGCGAAGTGTAGATGCCGTGATAGCGATGGAGCGGTTCCCATAACGATTCCTCGTGCAAAAGTCGCACGGATCCTCCTTAGATCGTTCATAACGCGAGCCGTTATCATAGCGTCCGCTTATCTCAATCCACTCTCGAACATGGGAAATATTGACTTTTCCAGTCAACATTGATCCGCAAAGAGAGAAACTTCAATGTACTCGTGGCATCTCGAAGAAACCGCGCGGTGCACTTTGGTACCGCGACTGCTCCAGGAAAAATCCAGAGCCGATTGTTCGAAAATCGACGTTCTTGGACGTTCGCTCTCTCGCCTCTCGTGCGAAATTTATCGTCCCGCCAATTCCGCTCGTCGTCGCGCGCTGCCAGACCGAGTCGTCGGCGTCGCGCGGAACAAGAAGGTCCTTGTCGCTCCCACTTTTTTTTCTTCCACTTGTCATTGTCCACTTCCTGTGGAGCAAGCCAAGTGTTAATTCACGAGGGACTCGGCGCGAGAGAGCGCTGGTATGCGCTCTAATCGGGACGCCATTATTATACAGCCATTAGTGTCCCTGCGCGTCAGCGTTCTTTTATGCGTAATGTAAAATTCGTAAATCTCCAAGATAAACGATGCGAGTGTGTGACCGCGTGCTTCACAGCGAGCTCGGTCCAAGTGTCGAGGCGCCATTTACGCGACTCATCAAAATGTCATCCTGTCATGTTCGTTTCGTCATTTTTGCTAAGTTTGCGGCAATTCATATATTGTCGCGTGCACATGCGAGAGAGAGAGAGAGAGAGAGAGAGAGAGAGAGAGAGAGAGAGAGAGAGAGAGAGCGTTTTCTCATTTAGAATATTAAGTAAAAGGCTGCGGATTCGAGAGAAAAAGAGAGAGTAGAATTTATTTACTCCCTGAAGATATAATAAAAATATGTAAATTTTATTGAATCACAAGAACCGATCCAATTTATAGAACTAAATAATTATAGATAAAAACGCAGTCATCCGTTTGCGAGCTCTGTATTTGCTCTCGACATAATTCCGGGCCTCTCACTACTCTGAAGCCAAAAAATGAGAAAGATTTTTAAGATATACGATTGCCATTATAGCCCGTGCTTGAAAATGAAGGCAGCAAAGCCAAGTTTGGAAAAATAATGGCTGTATAAAAAAAAAAGTATCGAAAATGAAACTTTTTAAACTTGTAATCATGTTTAAAAAAATGAATAAAATAAAATAATTATGTTCGGGGTAGAGGCGAAAACTATATGTCTACTGTATATTGTGTAAAAATTTCAAGTTATTCGGTTCGGTAGTTTTTGCATAATCGTGTCAACAGTTTAAGAAAATGGTGTTTCCAGATAAACGCGTTTAAAGTTTTATGTGTACTTTCCATATAGATAGCAACAAATTTATTTTATACTTTGAACATTAATGAATACACTGTGAAAATTTCAACTCCATTGATCCTACCGTTTCTATTAAAAAAATTCGTAAAAATAGCCTTGAAAACGGCCTGCTCAGCATATAATTCCCCCCTTAAATCTAATCTAACTTTAACCTAGATCTGATTAAAAATTAATTTAGATTCATTCCATCATTGATCAGTTGATCACGCTTGGACGTTCATAGCCATGTACTATTCCCATTTACAAATTTGGTTTTGGCTATTATAATTTTGCAATATTAGGTAGAGAAATGGAAAGATTCTTTATTATTTATTATCTTGATAATTGATCAGCTGATCGATTACGGAACGATGTAAGTTAATTTTTAATTAGGCTAAGATTATATTTAGGCTAGTTTGTTTAGTTTGCGGTCCACCAACTTTATAACTGAAACCAAAATTTCCGAAACCGATTTCGGGACAGGCCCTGTGGTGAAAGGATGTTAAGTCCCCAAAATAAGGTGCGACCGCAACAAAGGATTTCTTGTAGATTCCTGCGCGACACGCGTTGGTATCGCCAACTTGGGAGCCAGCGCACGCGCCGTCCTCCTAACGAAGGATGAAGATGCGATAAAAAGGTCCGACAGATAGGATGGTATCCAAAGAGTGAAGGGAGAATTTCGAGTCCTGAGGAATACAAAAGCGATCCTGATGACCTAGTGAGCACATGAAACCCCGAGACTTTCCAGGCGCAACGCGCGATTCCAGCGCGCATCAGAAACTAGAAGGAGCCGGGAGAACCGGGGCTCCTTTATTATTTCTTATATTCGCGCCATATTACGGCGCGCAGGCATCGTCATCCTGATGCTTTATAGTCGGCATTAACTGCGCTCCCGGGATATCGTTCTTCTACGGTGCTTTACGGGCCGCAGTTAAGTTTTTCCCCAGCCCGACCCGGCCCTTATTAATTTTCCAATTCCCCTCCCCCCCTCCACCAGTCAGGATTCGTCGGTATAAATTCCTTAAGTGATATTACGTTTCCAGTTACGGTTGCGTGGCGACGAGAGCTTAAAAATATTCTTCGATTTACGATCGAAGAAGTACCAAGGTTGCGGAATATCGCGTTCCTTAATTTCAAGAGCTCTCTCTCTCTCTCTCTCTCTCTCTCTCTCTCTCTCTCTTGTCTCGGCAGAATCGTAGAATAATACCTGGTTATTTGGTAAATTGGAAAATAAAAAGTATAACCGTATGAATTCCAAAATACCATGAGAAGAATTCGACTGGCTGGTAAAGCTCGGTTCGACTCGATCGCGTTTTAGGGAGGGGGAATAATTCATGAAGTAAATGGTTGCCATTTTCCGTCAATATTACCACAGCAAAACCTCCAAGGCGCTGTTACCTCATTATACGTGCGCGACAGCCCGTATTAAAGGAAAATCAAACTGACTGACCGATTCTATCAGACAGAAGAACTCACGATTCTTCCTTACGCACATTGGGCCAGGAGATTAGAAAAAGTGGCCAAAATTTGGTTGCAAAATTTCGAGTAAAGAAGCACACTAACTTTATCTACATAAGTCAAAGCACTGTTGACAAAAATTTTATATTGATTGGTTAATTAATCTTCCATTAATAACGTCTTGAACCTAAAAATTTTCCTATAAGTAAGAACAATTATTTTTTTTGAAGATTTTCATAATTCTGACTACGTTACACAAATTTCGATATTTTCCTCTCATTTTTAAAAATGTTGTGTATACACTTATCATGTAAATATCCCTATAAACACGAGAATTAAACAACGTTATTGTTTTGGTCCATTGTATGTCTACTTTATTGAATTTTATAGTATCATATACGCTATCGAATCACGATAACACGCCATAACACGCTCCATCAAACTAAAAACGATTTCATAGCATTCCTTGCAATGTATATTTGAAGTTTAGTCGGCGACTTTTTTGCGCTTTCGCGGATATCTTATAGGAATTCGTAAAATACATCGTAACGCGCTTTGTTTCCAAAATAAATATGTCGAGACTAACAAAGAGGGAAGTTCTTGATAAAATTCCCAGTGATTCTGATAGTCATTTGGGCGTTGATTACATTTTGATTACATTTTTTACATTTTTTACATTTTTTTATTACATTTTTTTTTTTTTTTTTTTAGTATCAAATTGCTGCACAGTCAGAGCATTTTTAGCAATTTCGTCCGCCATATTAGATCCGCCATTTTGAATTTCTGAATTTTGAGTACGGATTCGAAATCAGCAACCCCGAGAGCCTCGGACTACCACATTTCATAACAATTGGAACACTTTTAGTATTTTGGCCACTTTTTCAGTTCTTGGTTTTCTGGCCCACAGTGTTGCGGTTCGATGCCGAAGGACAGGGCGTGAGTCGCCTAGTACGAGCCGCCATGTTATGTAATGCAATTATACACGAGTATGCGCGCTCAGCATTGCCTTTTCTCGTTGCAGCGATGACGGCAGGGACTGCTTACGGTGCTTCCGGCCGTTGCGGAGGTCGCGGAACGTCATCGAAGTGTTCTCGGAAGCTGCCAATAGATGTTACACGTCGGAGCCGGTCGCTTTGGCCTCGTGCGACACATTGAACTCCACGTCGATCCTGTACCGTAAGTAGCGGAGCCGGATTTCTCCGGGTAATCGCGCACTCGCGTTCCAGACCGCGACCCCTGTGACGCGCGTCGGACTAAATATGAGGCATACTTATGGTGTATAATGAGCGCGAGAGCGCTCATGATCCTTAGGTCTCGCGAATGCGCGGCGATTTGTCTCGATGATTGCCTTTTCTCACGGCTGAGCAGGCTGAATTACCATTAATGCGAATTGATACGACTTTTTACACGCACTTCTGTCGAGCGGCTTTTTCTACGCTCCGCCGCGAGAGGTTTGTCTCTCGCTCGCGAAGAAACGAGGCGAATGCGGAGCGAGCGTGGAAAGGTGCGCGCGAATGTTCGCGGAGAAACGGTTATTAGAACGATATGATACGATACTGCGAGTAATTTCGAGCGAATGATATGTAATAATATCGCCAGCGGATTTATTTGTCTGGGCGACCGAATTAATTGTCGGTTAAATCGGACAAATGCTCGATGGCGACATTGATACTCTTTTCCTTCTTCTCTTCTCTTTCTTTTTTTTCTCTTCTTTCCTTGTTCTTCCTTGTTAAATTAAAATTAAATTATTATAATATTATATTATATTACTATTACAAAATTAAATTAAAATTAAATAATTTAAATTAAGATTAATTTCGCTTAATTATATAATGAATAAACACAAAATATCCCTAGGAAAAGTAGTACTTGATTTTATTCATTATTTATTATTATATTTATTATTTGACAGGGATATCTTTTCATGTACTTAAGTAACTTAAATTAATTAAATTGGAAAGAGATTATTATAATATTATATTATATTATTATAAATTAAAATTAAAATTGAATAATTTAAATTTAGATTAATTTCGCTTAATTAAATAATGAATAAACGTAAAATATCCCTAAAGAGTAGTGTTCTATTTTGTTCATTATTTATTATTTGAAAGGGATATCATTCCGTTTAATTAAATAATTTAAATTAAATACAATAAACTAAAATTAAATTATTATAATATTATATTATATTACTATTATAAAATTAAATTAGAATTAAATAATTTAAATTTAAATGCATTTCGCTTAATTAAATAATAAACATAAAATATTTCTAGGAAGTAATTTATTTTGTTCATTATTTATTATTTGAAAGGGATATATTTTCGTGTAATCAAATAATTTAAATCAACTAAATTGAAAAGTGATTTTTGTAATATTATATTATATTATTACTATAAAATTAAATAAAAATTGAATAATGTAATAAATTAAATTTAAATTAAATTTAAATTAATTTCGCTTAATTAAATAATGACACTCAATACACATTGTTCCTAGAAAGTAGAATCAGTATGCAATAACAAAACTTACAAAGTCTTGCAAAACGCGTATCACGTGCGCTCCTTTTCTTTTCCTCCACTTCGGGTGCTTTCTCTGCGCGTAGAAAAGCGTCACGAAGCAAGGCGCTGTCGTTCCGTTCGTTCGTGACGAATTAATTACGCTTGCTTTCTTGCGTTCCTATATTCTCTGCGCGTGTTATCATAGCGGAGGAATTCACGAGCTTCCGCCTTTTATCGTCTAAGCAAGTTACGGCGCGACCTCCGGCACACACGGGGGGGGGGAGATCAAGTTCGGCGTACTCTGCGGCGAATTAGTAGTACTCAATAATTAGCATTAATTAGCCGCAGGCCTCAACCGGAGGAAGTGATGAAGCTTGCGTAACAACGCGGGAACAATAGGCGGGACAAGGGGGGAGAAAGGCTCGCGCCCCGTTCGAGACGCGCCGGCACGCACGTCGCGTGCAAGAAACGCGTGCACGCGCAAATTTCTCACGCGCCTGTCAATTAAAACGCACTTAAGGCTGATTGGGCATTTACATAATCGCCCGTGCGGCGCGGCCACGAAAGTCCAGTCCGATGAATTCGATTCCAGCGTGGATAATCGCGAGTTGACTCTTGACTCGACTTCCAGCGCGAATTATTCCGACGACACGGCCGGAAGCGAATTCGGGCGCGTCGAATACATTTCCGTTATCTCGCGCGGCGATGAAAGAACGTGTTCGTGGCGATGATTGTCGGCCAGCGAAGCGAGACCCCGCGTGTGGACTTAAGATAAAATCCGAAACGAAATATTGTCTTCCTGCCGTCCCACAGTGGGGCCAGATGACATTTTTTGGTTCAAAATTCTCTAAAGACCTGAATTTCCAACCGACTATCGACACCAATGGATGAGGTTGATCCTGAATAAATTCCAAAGAGATCTGTCTAGCCGAAATTTTGAAAAAATTATTGGTTCAGGGTTCATGGGTTTAGGGTTTGTCTTAAAAGTTTATCGTTTAGAGTACAGTGTCTTGAGTTCGATGGGTTCGAGCCTATGGATACTAAATGCGAGACCCCAGAACTTATAATCACTTTTTAAAAAACTCAGAATTTCAAAGCTCATCATTTCAGCCCACATTAAGAAAGAATTAAGGATTAAAATTCCTCGGTTTTGTGCTTAACGGGTCTATATTTGATGTTTTTGTATCTTGGGCATATGAGTTTTGGGTTAATGGGTTAATGGGTTTCTGGTTCAAGATCGATAAATCTCGAGGTGTCTGTTGATTGGTTTCATAGTTTCCGCTGAATACGCTATTAGATAGAAATAAGTGTCGAATAATGAGTATTTCACAAGTTTCTCGCGTTTAACGATAATTTTTCCTCTTTTGGGGTTAGTAATTCGAGAAAAAAATTTTTTTTTAATTTTGGCAAGACAGATCTCTTCGGAATTTATTCAGGATCAACCTCATCTATTGGTATCGGTGATCGGTTGGAAATTCAGGTCTCTGGAAAATTTTTAATCAAAGACTGTCATCTGGCCCCACTGTGCGTCCCCTCGATAGCGCCAGGTAACGAATTTCCTAAGATGGCGGCTAATTAGCGCGGATAATGCCACCAGATAAATCTCGTGCGATGGCCGGCGCCTTGTCGGAAGCGTCAGCAACGAGTGAAACGCCGTAACAGGGCAATCGTAAGCCGAGAATCTGAATTTATGTTAATTTGAGGACTCGGACCCTTCCGAATTTTTACCTTTAGTTTTTTACCTTACAGTTTACCATCGAAGAGAACGGTCTTCAAGATCCCAAAGCACGACATTTCAAAGTCTTTGTCGAACTTTTGGAAAACTCCTCTTCCATTCGAGAATGGCCGTGTTACATCCGCCATGTTGAATCTTGAATTTCACCGTTGAACAGAGCAGCTTCAGAAATCTTTGAACACCCAGTTTTAGGAATGAGCCTGAGCCGGATGCTAAATTAATCGAAAATAACCAGTACCAGAAATATCGAAGCGCAGCATTGCGTTTCCACCAATCGAGGGGTCGATTTCCTCGCGGCGGCCATCTTGAACGATACGAGGAGGAATCCAGGCCAAAAATCTCCTATGGATTACGTCGAAAACAAAAGACAAACGTCCGTCAAAGGACTCCTGCAATCGACGGAGCACATTTCTAAGACGTTCCGAAAACGTTCTTTCCCGTGGAAACAATCAATAAGTGGGCGAAAAACCGACGTGACCATCGTGAGATCCGAGGCAGGTTAAGAAGCAAGGTTGCACATCACGTTAATTTCACGGCTACTCATTGGTTGTCAGACCAAACGGAAACCTGGAACGGAAACGCCTTTGGAATGTAGCCGACCGATTGCAAGTGTCACTTTCTAGATGTCCCGACTTCGACGTAACCCGTGGATATTTTTAGTGCCGACTTCCTCGCCTCTGACGTCATCAGGCGAGAGTCCCGCGGCGTGGGGCCGGGGGGCCTTAATGAAGATGCCTCTGATGAGCATCGAACCCTCGGCTTCCGGTACATCATTACGCGCGTTCATCGGTGGCGGCTGCCGAGAAGCTGCACCTGTCGCCACGCGATCGAGGAACGTCGAGTCGAGGCCGATCTCCGTTTGTAATCCCGATTTCATGCTTTGATCCGTGTCGCTGCACGCGAGGCTTCACGGGAACCGAAAATCGCGGCGTCTGGTGGTCCGGCGGAAGAACGTAATCGAACGTCCGTGCGTGAAGCGTTCCGGCGAGCATCTCGGCGCTCTGGGGGAATTTCAGAGACGACGGTTCGCAAAAAAAAAAAAAGAAAAACAGAAAACGGGGAGGAAGAAAAAAGAGCGAGTCGACGGCCGGCCCGGCAACCGCCGATATGTGTACGGGAGGTTGTTCGCATCCGGCGAGTCGGAATTTCTCAGGAAGACACATTGTTGCGTCGGTCTCGACCGCCGTCGGCTTATCGAACAAGCTCAAATCGAACGGAAAGAGCGAAAAGGACATGCGATGATAATTTGGGGAGAGACAAAAGAAACAAAAAAGTTTCTGCGACTCCAACACGAAATTCCAAGCGACACGTGGAAGGTCATTCCGGAAGAAGAGGGATCCCGTCGGGACGAAAGTTCCGTTCCCCGCATTCCCGTTCGTCCTCCGCCGAGTCTTGCTTCCTTTTCTTTCCTTTTCGTCGACCAGTCAGATCAGGTCGGGTATCCGTCGGAAGCGTAGGAGTGGCAACCCCCGAAAAGGCCCCCTCGTCCTAATCGCTCCGCCGTGGAATAAGAGACACCACGACACGCGATGGCCTCTAATAAAGAAGGAGTATTATCGTCCGCTTCGTCGTTTCGACGAATTATACCGTGTTATTTGAACAGCCAGATATCCACGCATCCTTAATTCCATGGGAAACCCGCTTCAGCGTGCCCCGCGACTCCCTTCCGTGAAATTACGGTGTACTCTGTGATTCCTATAATACCTTTAGTCCTTGCACGTCGCTCGTCGCGCATGATTATTTTACATGCACATGGCTTATCGACGTGTAATTTATTAGAAGTGTAATTTAATTTTGAGAGTTTCTTTTCTCAAAAACTAATTTACTTAAGATAACAAATAAATATCTTAATTAAAATATTTTCCTTCGTTTTCTACTTCTTCCCATTTTTCTGGCAAAAGATAGACTCCGCGACGGTAAAAAGATTTTTCTTTGGACTTGATCCAATTTTTAACAAATTTTCGCACTTGTTCCAAGTTATAAAAGTGTGTATCCTCTGGAGCAGGGGTTCCCAACCGGGGGTACTCGCACCCCCTGGGGATGCGAAGAAACATTCTTGGGGGTGCAAGGAAAAGTGATTGTAATTAATAATGATTAAGATGAATTCTGAAATAATCCGGCATATTTACCATCAAATTAAAAAAAAATGGTATTAAAATTATATAGTTTTTACGTATCTGTACGTATATATTCATTACGTATCACTATGCGAAGCTTGATACCACGGATAATAATATTATAATATTAAAACGATAATGATAATAGTCAATAAATTAATAATGATAATAGTGAATTTCTATAAAACTATACTATATAATAATAATTTATTGTAAATTAATTTCTTACTTTAAAACCCTAACAACTAATTTTTACCATAAAACATATGAATAATTTTCTTTTTTTGTAAGGGGTGCGAAGGTTCATTAATAAATTTTTAGGGGTGTGAAATACAAAAAAGGTTGGGAAACCCTGGTCTAAAGCAATATTCACATGTCTTAATTGATGGAGCAATCTCATCACAAATTTTTATCAAAATTCTACGACCTTCAGCTACCGTTTTCTTCTAATTAAAAAACAAAAGCAACGCATGTTCGAAGATGCACTTCAGGAAGATGCTCCATTTTTAAGATGATATTAACACGATTTTTACTGCGTCTATCGTTAGTAAATGACTATAAACATCATGGATTAATATTAAAGCATTAAGAAACAATAGCTGGGATTGAAATGTCTTCGACAAAATTGACATTAGTGCCGTCTCTCGCAAAACCCTCCAATCTAAATGACATTCCTAATAAATGATCGTGAAAAGCCGGCGAAAACGGTACGATAAAGCACGCGAGTTTTGCGTCGAGCATTCTCATCCCATGTTCCTGTTTATAGCCGTAGAATTATACGGGAGATTGCTTCAAGGAAAAGGGGGCGGGGGACAAAATTGTTTCAAGAATACTTCCTTAAAACATGAAGACTCTCTTGCACGATCTCGTTCGATCCAGTTCTTCGCCGGTAGAGATTTCCGTTTCTTACTCTCCTTCTCCTCGTGCCGCAAAACTCACTCCGTCTAACAAGTTCGACACGGACGACGAAAGCCGCGGAAAACCGCGCGCTTGAGAGTTAACTCAATATCGCTTTTTCCTCCGACTCGCTCGCCCATTCTCGAGAGCGGTTTTGCGAGCGTAACAGCGCGCGAGGTAGCCGTGGACGAGGCGGAGGAGCGCGTCCGTGCCGCTCGAAATTACAGGGACGCGACGAAAAGCCGCGCGCGGGGAAAAACCGTAAAGCGGAGAACGACGCCGTTCGCGGCGAGCCCCGCCGCCTTCTTCTCGGCGCGCGCGGCGCGGCAAATAAATTCTGCCGACAAGTGGACGACGCTTACTTGGCCGGACTCTTAAAACGGTTTGTTTAAACGTGCCACCGGCCCTCTGTAATTATGCGAATCGTAAATTGATCTTGTTATCCGCCTCGTTGCGATACGGCACCGCCGACAGCTTCACCTGTCGCTAACGCGGCACAGGCCATTCGTTGGTCGCTGATGTCTAGATAAAAGTATGCGGATGATCGTCCAGATGAATTTCTCGCAGCATCTTATCTCCGTATTTGACTTTTTTGCACCTTTTAGTTCTATTTTCCTAGTTTTTTCATTCTATATCTCCATCTTATCCATACTATCAATATTATTTTACTCAAAAGATTCGTGATCAGCAATTCGAAAAACCCACATATCATCAATAATAATCGGAATTTTTATCAATTTCGTACATTATTGGTAGCCATATTGAATCCGTCGTTTTGAATTTTGCAAATCTGACTTTAGATCCGTAATCAGCGACCCAAAAAACGTAGGACTACCAAATATTTTAATCATTTTCTCCAGGGAAGTTAATTCAGCAGAGAAAGGGTTGATGACCTAATATTACAATCTATAAGGTTCTTATTATTATTACTGAATTAATAATATTTATTACTGATCTGTAAGATTATTGTTATCTTCAACTGGAAAAAGTTTCATCTTTACAAAATTACCCCAAATATTCACAGATGACTTTGTCCACATTATTGTAAAATATTGAGATGCTTATCTCCTCTATGTTTCGACGCATTGCGATTGCGTCGAACTCGATCTGCAATCGGGCCAAAGAGGAATTTACACATTTCATCTTGTCCAGCTGATTTTATAATCACCCAAGCGCAATACCGAGCCGCTCTCTTCGGCGGGACGGACAATGAGCAGGAGCAGGTAAAAAGGGCCCAATTGCGGGCCCACCGCGGCGCGGCCGCGGAGAATAACATTTCGGGAAGCGGGAGGTCCTCGACGTTTTACGTCTTACTCGGCGAATTTCGCAATCGTCATCGTCCTTCCTTTCGGCGAGGAGTCAAAGGGGGAAAGAGGAAATAACGGGGCGATAATGCGCGTGTGCTTGCGTGCGGCTTATTATTTTAGCCGTCCCGGGCTCCCGACAGCTCCGCTTTGAAGACACGCTCGCGTGGTCCTCTTCGTCCGAGCGAAGATATTTTGCAGTCGGGGACTTCTGGCGTCTGAAGGATCAGGAAGTCGCCTCAAAGCGTTCTTCAGGCGACTACACTGACGAAGACACGTCGCTGATTTTGCGAGCGTCCGGAATAAAACACAAGTGGATAAAAAATAATTACCATCGATCTAGAAGAATCTTCATGAAATCGAGCGGTCCGAAAGATGATCGATATCGATTCGATCACGTATCTTGAAGATATTCCGACCTTAACGTTGCTCTTCCAGCGTCAAATGAGGATCTTCTTTCATACACAATGCACGATTGAAAGTGTACTGAACACTCGGTCCAAATTTTGCCTTTGAATTTGAATTTGAAGAGTGAGGAATAGCGAGAGAGCGAAGACGAGATATTTGAGTCACTCTGGCGTCGTCGCGTGGGACCTCCTCACCTCCGGTAATCCGAAAATTGCTCCGTTCTTTGTAAACCTTTTGCATTATCAGCGCGAGGGGAGGAGCGACACGGTGACGGGTGAAAAGTGCCGAGGCTCTCCTTAGGTGAAGAAAACGCGGTGTGGAATTTCAGCTACTTCCTGCTGATAGATCGCGCCTCTCATTGTAGCTCCGACGAAAACCGCGGACTATTTCGGGAAGCCCTTTGTGGGCAGAGGTACCTGCGGATTTTTATCCCCCAATGTCCCATCTCGATTCATGAGAACCCGCGATCTCGCCGAGTCCAGTCACGTTCAGGAACGTTCCAACAAAAAGCAGTTGGAACCACGGTTGATTCTCGAATTGGATCCGGCTCCGAGTGTCGACGCGACAGACAGAGTGAAAGAGAAAGAGGGAGAGGGATATCATACTTTATTAATTTATACGGAGCTTAATTTATCCAGTAATTCGAAACTTGCTGAATAAGTAAACTTGTTACAGCAATAATGTTGGATACTCAAGAAGGTTTGCGCAGTTTCTAGGTTTTATCAAACTGCACATGCGCACACTATCAATTAAAAGTGTGGTCATGTATGTTTAAACAAAAACTTATTTAACAAAGGACTTACGTGGTGTGTAACACTCACGGAAATATTAATTATTTAAAGTTTTGCATCCCAGATGCACACTGACACGCTTTGGAAATTCTAAGGGCATCCTGTGGATATCCAAATTTTATCCCGGGGTATCCTGGGATGTCCTGAGGAAGGGAAAATGGCAGCTGAATATTAGCCTTTGAGATATCCAGAGATATCCTGTCGGACATCCTGAGGACTTTTACAGGATATGTTATGAATATTTTTTAGGCGTCTAAAGGAAAAGGAAAAAATCATAATATATTGAGTTTGCCAACTCCGAATTGTATCGAGAGTTACGTTTTTTCTGTTTGAATTATAAATATAAGGAGAAAAAGTACTTGATTCGATTCTAAATCGAAATTGGTAAATTGAATACATAAATAGTTTAATTTCATTTTCGGAAACAAAAAATTGTTAAATCTTTTTCAATTTTATCCTCTTAGAATTTTAAAATCTTTAGGCTTTAAAAGAAATCGAGCTATTAACGTATCCAATTTGTCAAATCCGAGGATCGAGTCGAATGCTTTCTTCTCCTCATATTGATAATTTAAACGGGAAAAATAGAAAGCATATGTATTTCGGAATCAGCAAATTCAATACATTATATTTTTACTACTTATCCTTGAGACATTTTTCAGAAGATTGTGCTATTCGGGTTCTTGTGCTATTTGAGATTAACGGATATGCAGCAGACATTTATGAAAGATTTATATTTTATACACAGTACTTAACATTCTATAATCAATGAAGTCAAATATATACACAAAATTTTCGTTTGAAATATCTATAATAACACAATTAAATATTCTCAAAATATACTTCCAGAATAATCCTAAAAATATCCTAGAACATTCCGGGACATATTCATCCTGAGGATGTTTTGTGCTGTCTGAGTTATATTAAAATGGCACGAACTGTTTTAGTTGCCTGATATAATTTTAACACATTGTTGTGTTTTTTCTTTGCATTTTTTCTGCAATTACATGCAATGACGTGTTTTAGCTTGTAACTTTATTTTGTAACTTTTACAAACTCATCAGTCACTCGACTACTCTGTGGCCTTTCGACAAAGCTTTAGCGGCACTCCCATTGCGAAAGATGGCTGATTTGTCGTCAGCGAATGTTCTCAAGAATCAAAGATTGATGTTGTCTCTCTTTGAAATCACCGAAGGACTAAATCACGTCGGATCTGACATCGTTGTCGTTCTTCTTTCAACAGGCACGAAAGAAATCGGCGGCCAGGAGATCCGGAACGAGTACTGTCCGATCGTCGGTCTGTATCACTTCAAGTACAGCATCAACAACGGCTCTGCGACATCCTTGGAATGCAACTCCTTCCTCTCAGACTTTAGTAATTGCCCGGACGGCTCGGTGTTACGTTTGAACTTCAAACGATGCTCCTACGAGCAACGCGGTAAGTTGCCTCATTCCTTCGCTTTTTATTAACACAGTTATCGCTGACCGATTATCATTCTCCGGGTCGACGACGAAACAGTTGATGAGCCTCTCAGGGTGTCGAGGTACATCGTTTCAATCTCGTTCCAGCAGATCTCACCTTCAATTGTTTGGGCAACTGGCCTGGACCAGGTGGCTCTAATTACTTCGCTCTATGGGACAACGACACTATCGAAGGCCAGCCTCGATACAGATGCGGGGTACGTACAAGGGAGGGACATGTCTACGAAACAATGTAGACAAATAATCGCAAGTCTCGCGTCTCAGAGCCAAAAATGTACAATATTTCTTGATCCTTTGAGGCACGTATTTTTCAGAAAATCCGAATCACATGAAAATTTATATACGGGGGTTTCTGGGGTCGCTGATGACGAATACGTTATCAGATTTTCGAAATTCAAGATGGCGGGTCCAAGATGGCGGACGCAAAAATGAAAAATCGCGATAATTTCGGTGACAATGGGTATTGTGGGGTTTTTGGAGTCGCTGATTACGAATCCGTTATCAGATTTTCAAAATTCAAGATGGCGGTCACAAATATGAAAAATCGCGATAATTTCGATGACAATGAGTTTTCGACCTCGGATTCGTAATCAGCGACCTTGAAAGCTAACCAAAGTACAATTTCAGCTAATCATATAAAAATTTTATGATCCAGCATCTTGGAAAATGAATTTTATAATGTGGACCTCAGATTCATAATCAGCGATTTCAAAAACTACCCAGAGTACAATTTTAGCTAATTTAATAAAAATTCTATAATCTGCTATTTTGAATCCGCCATCTTGGAAAATTAATTTTGGAATTTGGACCTCAGATTCGTAATTAACGACTCAAAAAACCCTCAAATCTTGATTTTGAGCAAAAAATTCGCTCATAGTTCGTGGGAAATGATTTTTTCTGTAAAAATGTGTATTTTTCACACTTTGTTTATTTATAATAAATAGACAACTTATGCAAAACACTTTTCAACTTTTCATGTATGTTCCCATATCATATAAGAAGGTAAAAAACGCAAAAAACCCGACAAGAATCCCTCAAATACGAAATATTTCATGAAAATGTGAGAATAAATAGGTGGTAAATATATTTACCATTATGCCTCAAAGGATTAACTGCTTGTGATTGGCAAGCTAAATCTCGCAAAAGTGCTCAAGTTGGCAAAAAATAAATCTTGCGACTTTGACATTTCGTTAACACCAGAACTAGATGTCAAAATGTGCGGCTTGTAATCTTCTAAAGAAATTATTCGAATCTATGACGATGCATTCTATATTTTTTTTGTTTGGTGTTGAGTGAAACTAAGCAGGATGAGTAGACATATTTGCTCCCGCATTTTACTTTGCTTCTTTTCGGAAATCTGTCATTTGGGCAGCTCCGATCAAAGTAAACCGTTGATGATCGCCGGTAGTTTTGGTGTTAATGATTGTCATGACATTCCGCGATGATTAATGTCGCCTTTCTGCAGATATACGACGTCGACAACAAAACGGGGAAGACCTACATGGCGTTCAGCAGCGACTCCAGCTGCACGCGAAATCTGCAGAACTCGACCAGCGGCCACGAGACTCTGATTCTCAGCAAGACCCCGAATCAGAAGAAGGTGCCGAATTACGTGAAGACTCATGTCGCTACGTGAGTATTCACTTTGGTTTGTTTTAGTTTAGTCCGGTTTAGTCCGCAGCAGGGTGAAGCTTTGACCGAAGAGTCTAACCGGACTCCTCAACGTAGTTCGATCGTAGTCTGTTTGAAAATCATCCGGTCCGTTTATTCTGGTTGTTGAGAGCTCGTCCACACACCGCGGTGTGTCAACATTGCCGGCGCTTGAAGGTCATCCGTTAATTACTCGCTATTCATGAAATCACAGATTCCCGAAATGGGCACAGGGGGTGTGGGAGCAGGCTCTCATAGTCAACGGAACCATGACCTTCACCGATCTCAACGGCTACAACAGTTACACCTTCATCACGGTGGAGGCGAACGAGGATACCGGCCGTTACACCGTGTACTCTAAGGATCAATGGTGAGCAATTAATTCTCGACCGCCACTTTATTATCAGTGATCGCAGGAGCATCGCAGATCCTCGCTTTTTTCCCACGAGTCCCACGATGCTCTGCATGTTCTTCGAGATGCTTATTATCCCGCGGACAGTGAAAGCTAAAAGTGAAACGATCGTTTTCCTTCTAATTTCAGCGAGCAGGACGCCTACGTGTGTTTGGTGATGAGGCAGCGTAGTGAAAACATACTGGAGTTTACGATAGGTAATTATCTCCGGGATTGCCCGGCTGTTTCACATTTAATTCCCCGTCGTAGCGCGCGGCTTTATCGTCACGGCGCATCATTAAAGTGTAACCGTGACTCTCCCACCGCCATAATAATCCTTAGAGAGCATAAAGCTGACGTTACTCGACAGGGATGGTCCTCAGTCCAGTTTACCAAGACTATCTGTGCGACGATCCGAATCTGGACAAACCGGTGTGGATGACTCAAGCACGTAAGTTGATGCACGCGCTGCGAGACACCTTAGGGAGTCACCTGTCTCTGATAAGCCGCCCACTTGCCGGGCACGTTTATTATTTGCGCTTAACGTACAAACCGCTCTCTCAACAAGGTATCGAACGCGCGGTGGAGTCGCCCTGCCCAATTACAGGCGAATACACGGGAAGGATAACGGATCTGATGGGAATGTGCGCCGAATTGAGCAGCAACTGCAACACCCGCGAGATTATGTACTTCAGAGTCAGCGACTGCGATTCTGGGGAGCTGTACGAACGTACGTAACGATTATCGCCGAAATGAGCATAAATAACAAGTGATAAATATTAAGAAAAGTACATCATTGGAAGTTTAACCGCGCACTAGAACTGGTTGCATCTTGTCTCATGTCGACTCGAAGGGTCGAGAATTCCATTTCGTTTCTAGATACAAGTATTTCGGCTTTACACTCTAACATTGCTGTTCTGTTCGAATTTATTATACTCATCAAATGTAATAAGGAGATAAAAGTTTGGAGATAAAAATTTTGGTTCAAGTGGACGCGAATAGAACAGCAGGATAGTCGAAATGAGGCTTGTGTTTTGGACGACTTGCAAGCGAAATTTATCCTCTTCTGGTGTGATGGTTTCGGAGCTTGCAACGTTTTTACACCTTTCAGAACGAACGTATCTGTGCTTGGGGCAGTGGGAAGAGAAAGGTGTGATGTATACTTATACCATGAGGAACGACACGCAAACGAATGAGTGCTTCGTAGGCCTGATCGTCAACGACGAGGAGATATACATCAAGGAAGCTGGCGACCACTGTATGCGAAACATCGATCCTAAAACGCAGGGGATGCGTCTCTACAAGAAAGGTGAGTATCCTCTTGCCAAACATTGAAAACCTGGCAGGAAGTAGAGTACCGCCTCTTTCCTTCCGATTCTCAAAGTGGCTTTTACATGTTGTGATGATGATATTTAAGGACAATGTTACGGGAATTCGCCGAGTCCCGCGCCGACGCCGATGCGACCAATACCTCACAACCCGGTAATGAGGATCACGACGACTAAACCGTCGAGAGCACCAGGTAACAGCCAAAGGACCTCACCCCTCGTTGTCCCATTGTTTCGATTTCTCAGATAAAAACCTGTAAAGGTCTCGCCGCAGTAGAACGACTGCTAAATTTGACGTTTCTGTCGACAGGAAACACCAAGGTGCCAGGTAACGCAGTTTCCTCGTCGTCTGCCTGCAGATCGAACGCGTACACGAGTTTCGCGCTCCTCTTCGCTGTGCTCGCCGCGCGTCTCAAGGTAGCCTCGTACGCGTCCGAATAATGAACAGCGTTTTTCGAGTTCGATAATGCGCTAGTTAATGAATATTGCTACGTGGATGCGCCGACTGTGTGCATCCGCCGTTCTCGTCTAGCGAACGATCGAGACGTAGGTAGGCAGGTTATTTATTACAAAAGTCGACCTAAAAGCGTTACTGCAGCCAGCGGAGAAAACATACGTTCTGCATATTTCTTTTTATCCCGCACACTTCCGCCTACGTGAAATCTGCCTCTCCGTGCAACTCCGTGAAGAAGGTTTCGCCGTTCCCTCGGTCGAGCACCAAAATTCCGAAAGTTAAAGAGCTCAAGAGGCTCCAATAGGTGGAAGCGACTTGGGTCTTCACAGTCGTGTTTACGTACTGCCTTGTAAGATACAGACGCTCAGACCGAGACTGTTGCGACAATCCAAAGAATCTATCTATCGCCCGCGATGCGACTTACGGCGAGTAAAGTTGTCCACGCGCAGACGAATAGCGGGTCCTTGTTCACTAATGAACCAACATCATAGGATAGAAGTGCGACACAGAAGTATAAAAGGGACTGACGGTATTGTTTTACAATTCATCTCACAATGATAGATTTATCTTTATTTCCGGAGGACGAAGTCGCGTATGAAAATTTGATCGCTAACGTAGCATAAAAAAGTTGTTTTCCATTGAACGAAACCTGTCAGACACCCACTGTACTGTTTAAGGTCGACAGTGATATTTCTCTTATGATAATGAATATAAAGTAGCGTTTCTTAAACGTCCGTAAAGCAGCAAGTAAGCCATAATAGACGGAATATAGCCCGACACAAAGGGACGCAGTATAAATTACACAGTTGAATAAGACTGATACAGAGTTATTTTAATACAATTCAACCTGTGGTAGTTTCTTTCTCTCTGTTGGAGACAAATTGCTCCGAGGGATTCGTATGTTCTCACGCAAGCACAGGAAAATATATATATCTTTGCGAAAAAAAAAAAACATATCAACGGTATCGAGCTATCCGTAGAATAGAATCCAAATATCAAAAGGTCCGCAAAAGAACCGAAGAAGGAGGGAGGGAGAACGCAAGTTATATATTTGCAACTTCAACTCTGAAACGTGTTTCACCCTATTTGCATACTGCACGCATATAAGAAGCAAGACAGGTGTTGTTGAATGTACAAAAGGAAATTAATGGAATCTCCCTGTAAGATTAACAAGACAAAATTAAAAGACAAGAAATTAACTGTGTGCTATCGAGTAACTTCAAACGGAAAAGAACGTTTCCTTTTGTGTACACCATAAACGCGGATGAGATCTGGTATCGCCCAAAGTGTAATATTTACCGCGAGCGCGCGAGACTGACGCCAGATTTGCATCCGTGTCGTACGTGGTTCTAGTTTACTCTCGCATCTGGCGTAATGATGCGACAAAATGGAGATAGCTGTACATACATGTGTAAACTCGTCGATTATTTATTAGTGTATAATACCGGTAGTGTAACAAATTCAACGAAATATACATTTATTGTTTTCGTTTAACTGCGAATTGTACAGAAAATTAATTAAAATAATCTCTAGACTGCTATCGATGCTAAAAATTTGGCTTCTCGCGTCTTTACGCGCATTTCGCGATTATTTAACCTGTATTTAATATATATATATATATATATATAGTAGCGAATAGTAGCGAGAAAATCGTTCTTTTACTCTGACATATCAATTGCGAATGTACAGTTGTATAAAGGAGACAGGTATGCAATAATAAGATACGTGAGTCACGAAATTTAGGTCGCCTAGGATAAGGTTAAAAGATAAATCATCCTAGACGTAAATCTCCGAAGTTGCAATCACATTAGGGACCGCATCCGAAAATATTAATTTCCATCAGAGAAGAGTATACAGTTGGCGTATAACGAAAAAAAGCTTAATCTTCATTTGTAATTGCATTTATCGTGCGATTATAGAAGTATTCAACTTTGGATAGATTACGTAGCTATAACCGATTCGAACGTAATATAAATATGCGACAATAACTGACATTTTTAACACACTGCAGTTCTTGGTTTGCACCAAGGCATTGTGTCCAATTATTCGAGTAGATTCGATCTGTACTATACACTGAGTGCGGATATAAAAATAACTATTGATCGTAAAATGTACATCAGCTACATTTAATCAGATATATTGACCTCTTGATAAATCTGCCATTGCTAAATCAACTGCTGATGAATTGTGATAGTAAAATGATTGGCTACATTTGGGGATCAGCATTATATTAGTGCATTCTGACGCAACATGTTGAGTATCTTTATTGCGCTGAAAATGAATGCTATCTGCTTACTGTACTGAGTGAACGTATCTAAAAAGTAAGAAATATTTATTCGGTTGGTACTAATGATAAGTTTACTTGATTATTCTACTAAATACTACTAACAAAATTACATAAATCTAAATTGCTACATATCTATATAATATACCGAACAATTATTTTTAATTTTTTAGATATTTTTTCTCAGGGTAGTAAATTGTGTGGAATGGTGCAAACCATTAAATGGCACTCACTAGGAAATCGTACACTTGTAAAGCTGTTTCTCCTGTCGAACACAGCTGATGTATTGGATGTTTCAGCAAACTGTACTGCACTGTATTGATAATGCCAACAACAAAGTGTTGTCGACGTGTAATATGTTAGTGACTACTTGAAATCAAGTGAGAGATCTTCAGAATACATCGTCATTATATTTTAATCTACTAAAGGAATTTTGTACTTTTACATGACTCAATATATGTAACAAAAATAAATATTTATCAGATATAGGTACAGATGAGGGCACAAATTATTCAACACAAAAAAAGACCTGCTTTACATAGCGCATTCTTAAATTATAGTCTGCCTTATCACATTCCAGGTATTTAGCACACCTAGGTTCAGTTTGAAGCAGTGAAGAATCTATCAAATATATATAAAAAAAAGTGATACAGGAAAATAAACATATTTGTAAGGCGACATATGCACAGTCATACACTTTTATAATAAATCTGATCTTATATAATATCTAATTTGGCATGTTCTTTGTCACAAAAAACTCATATCGTACAAGTACCAATGGAAACAACAATGTGATCTTTACAGTCTCCTATGCCGAATCTCTTTCATACTTCAGGATGGCTTTCTTGCGCTGTACCCCCCATGCATACTTGTCGTTCTCAGCTTTCTTACCTGTCACACGATGGCATGGCACGATATAAGCAACGCGATTCTTAGAAATTGCATTCCCTACCGGGCGTATAGCTTTGGGATGTTGAATTATCTTTGCGACTTCCTCGTACGTGATAGACTCTCCCCTAGGGATAGTCATCAAAGATTTCCACACCTTCACTTGAAACGATGTACCCTTGAGGAGGACACAGATGGAATCGAGCGACGTCACGTCAGGCTGGAAAACTTCCTCGACTATATTCTTTGTCCCGTCTCCAGTGTCTTCCGATATTTCAGAGAGCGGCCACTCGTTCTTCAGAACTTTCAGAGCGTACGCCTCGATGCCGTCGACGAATCCCAAGTACACGATGGCTTTGCTGGTGGCGGTTATGGCGATGAGGCATTTACCGAAGGGTGTCGAGTGGAATGCGTATAGCAGCTTGAACGTCGATCGATCCATCTTGTACTCGCTGCTTGTCATGCTTCGAAACTTAACCATGCTGATCAGGATGCGCCAAGCACAAACGCGAATCGATGCGCAACGCCAAGTCTGTCTCGCAGGAGTGAAGCTGAAGAGGCACCGGACAGCACCTGAGAGTGTTACGTCTGGGTTCTGTACTTACTCTCGAGCACGTCCATAACATTCAGGTGATCTCGTATATATATTCTTACTCACAATATCCTATTTCAAGTTGAGTGGAAACGCAAGTAAAGCGCCTACAAGCCTCTATCCCTCTCTCTCAATTACTGACTTCAGGAACGTACTACTCCGACGCCATTGCAACCAGGGTTGGCATGTTTTAAACTTTTTGTTTAGAACAAAAGTTTTAAATATGTTTTAAACATTCGATAATTTTAAACAAATGTTTCTTTCGTGTCAATTTTGGACATAAAATTATTAATGATGTAGTTTTGATCTTTTCACGAAATATTTATTTTTTCATATTTTTACACATTACAATATAATATTATACACAAATGTGTACAAAGTGTCCCAAAAGTCAAATATCTCAAAAATAAAGCATGTTAGAGAAAAATATCTTATATAAAAAGGTATAGAATTCCAAAATTGACGCTTTACATAGTAATATTAATATGACCTTGAATAATGTTGCCAAGATCATGTAAAGATTATTTTCAAATTTTTTAATGGAAATCTCCATTTTTTATCGTATCATCTTTTTCTACTAGCTATTTTCAACAATTTTTGTCTAAAATATTTTTTTTATTTACTCAATATTTTCTGAGATATTTAAGGGAAACTTGGTAACTTTTTCAATATTTAGCTTATGATATTTCGGTAACTATTTGTCGGAAAGTGGTATTAGATTCTTTTACTTTACCTGGTCTCAAGAATATTGCTCAAGAATATTGTTACAATAATGCCCCAATTTTTGTTAAAGCTAAAAGACTAAAAATAACATTTACCCTATCAGAAAAAAAAATATTTAAAAAATGTTTTTAAAAATATCAAAAAGAAACGTTTAAAGAACATTTTTAAAACGTTAAAATTAATTTTAAAGGAACTGCTAATATAAAATAAATAACCATTAAATAAACGTTAAATATTTTTTCTTAATCACTATTTAAAATGAAGAATTAATGTAAAATGAACGTTAAATAAATATTAAATATTTTTTTAAAACATTATTTTAAGTGACGAATTAATGTAAAATATACATGAAATAAACGTTAAATAAATATCTTGTGTACAATGAATGGAATGTTAAAAAATGTTAAAAAAATAAAAAAAAATATTGTCTACTTATTGAATAGCCACGGTCCGAATCACCAAAAAATTTCGACTATTCAAGTGTGTTAAATTCGTAACGTTATTGTTGCTTATTACTAATATAAGATTGTTGCTAACGTTATTGTTGCTTATTACTAATATAAGATATTCGATTAAATATGAAATATACGGCGATTCTAATTAAATCTCGATTTCATCTTTTAGTTGTTCTTACGTATATGTATATTGTGCATATGTTGGACATTTACTTGTATTGGAAATGTGACAAGATACATCTTAAAAAGAAAACTTTAAGCTTTTTTTTTTCTAAACAGTGTCTTTTAATTTCTTCATTCTTTATAAGTATCAAGAGCAAAAAGACAGTTTTCGCTTCAAATAAATAACTGAATGAAGAAATATCCAACCGCAATCCATATCCATATACAAATGCAAATTAAAGAAGCTTGCGTTTTTAAATAACATAAATGCCATATTTGTATGATGTTTTATTTACACGGTACAACTCGACAAATTTGACCAAAAATTTGAGCGTTCGATGAATCTCGAGTTACATTCGTGTAAATATATAAAAAGAAACTTTATACTTGAAAAAATACGAAAATGCGTAATGTAGAGACTTTCAGTTTTACAGTACTTCTGGAACCATCTCTCCTTGTCATCATTTTTATGAGAGTTACAATCCATGGAAATTTGCTTATTCCTTTTGGTCAAAAGAAAAAGTTCTCTTCGAAAACGAACAAACGTTGTTCGTTTGGTGAATCAGAGGGAAGCGTACTTAGGAGCGTTTGTGCAGCAGAGAAACCGATCGATTGGTCAAAGTTTACGCGGTCCATTCAACGTTCTTACATGATACACGGCATTCAGATTTTTCCGTCTACAGATTCGTCGATTGAATTAATGATTACATTCCGTTTGTTTTTTCTTTTCTTAACGGAGACGAGGTACAATTTGTTCCTCTAAAGATTTAATCAAAGGAAATAGATATGAAGAACTTTTCTGAAAATTATACATGTGTAACCAGAGTTTCTTCGGAATATACAAGAATGACTCGGCACCATTACTACCGTTCGTTCATCTGGGAAACTGTCCGCTACAAAGTACACTCGTTGTTGTTTTTCTCATGTAAAAGCATAAAACCAGATCTATATTAACGATAACTTAAGTTGTTGGCAAAAGTAAAGCGAAAAATGATTGTTGTCACATATACAAAACGTCGGTCTTCTATAAGAATCGGCACGTCATACACACACACACACACACACACATACACACACACACACACACACACACACACACACACACACACTTGTGCGACGTGCGGTAACGAAAGTATCACTAAGCTAAGAATTCTTTGCGAAATGTTCAATTTTGCGACAATGAAATATCTCTCGAGACGAGCCGGGTCGAAGAATTCATCGCATTTGGAAATTAATCACTAACAAGTATGACAGAGCGATATATAAAAAAGAAATTAATAATTCTAGTACTCTGGAGAATGATTAGACCTTGTTTGGAGTCTCGGACGTGTACTCATACATGTGTAATGAAAATCAGTTTTCAATCTACGAGGAATACGACCGCTAATAGGAGGATATGTGAGAAGCGCTGCCGTCTGAAGGCACTCGCACACTTTTTTCAGAAAGGATGATAACGTACTTGGAGGAAACTTAACATTACACTAGATACTTAACGCTAGATATTTACAAGATGTACAGATACGACATATATAAAACAGACGCAATATAGGTACATCGAACACAAGTAATGAGTCCCCTCATTCACCAGTGAATGAACGGCTTAGTGACATGGACTTGGTGGTGGATGTCGCGTCGTCAGCATCAACGTTACACAAAACGGGCGAGTTCCTCATTTCACGATGAATGGCTTGATGATGGTGGACGTCGCGTTGGCATCGACGTTACATAAAACTCCACGGGACCTCGCATCGGACAACAACGAATTCCACATCTGATCCTTCTACAAAGCAAAGGTCCCCTCGTTAACTCGAGACCAGCGAAGAACCCCACTATGAGGTCGCATACGTGGTCTACGCTTACCATAAACGTGTTGAAATTGCCGCACAGTATCAAACTATGCTTAGCCCTTGTAAGGGCCACGCAGAGCCTCTGTTTGTCGGACATGAATCCGATGCCGTGGCTTCTCACGCAAGACATTATGATGATATCTCGCTCTTGGCCTTGGAAGCTATCGACTGTATTAACTTCGTACGCAATCTTCTTTCTCATGTTCTCCGGCAAGTTAGATATCCTGAAAGATAGACGTCACGACATAAGTTCACGATTCGCCGCGGTCATGAGCAAATGTGTAAGCGCCCTCTCACGCGTTCAGCCGATGACTCACTTTTCGTTTATCTTATTCAGTACGACGGTTCTTTGGTTGTTATACGGTGTGAGGACACCAAGAGTCACCGGCTCGTTCGTGTCTTCCCACTTGGCGTATATCAGCATGGCGTAGATCATATTCGACACGAATTCCGCCTCGGTGGTGTTGGAGAACCTGTCGTTGTTCTGCACGGAATTGTGAGACAGCACTCTGTAAGGATGGAAGGGGAATGATATTCTAAGCTCTGTGGCGTTCTTCAACTTGCAATCGTAGAAATATCTGTTCGGCCAATAGGAGATGGAATACGCCATACGATACTGCGTGTCCAACATTATTATTGGATTGTTCGTTTGCGACGTGAAGGCGCGCTGCATCCGCGAGAAAATGGACTGATCCAGTCCCAGTTTCTTCGCGCGTTGGCTCAATATAGTCGCTGGTAGCTGGTTCGGATCGCCCACCAAGACCAGAGTATTCACCCCCAACATCAATGGTATCAGGGTCTCCGCTTCGCAACTTTGAGTCGCTTCGTCGACGATGCAGACAGACAGCTTCTCCCTGTTGGCGCCGAAGATGGATTCCATCTGATTAGTGTAGCAGGACGAGAGTGTGCAAGCGATTATATCGGCGCCCGCGAGGATTACGTCCTCGGACGGCCGTTGGAACTTGTTGCGGTCCTTCTGATCGATCTCTTCGAATAGCTTGCCGGTCAGCAACAATTCGTATCTTGAGGACGCATCGGTTAGTTTCCTCTTGATTTCCCTCCTCCTCGCCTCCGACAGGCTCGCCGGGTTACGAAGCGTAGCCTGCAACAAGTCTATCTGCCGCTCCAGCTTGGTCTTCTCCGACATACGGTTAGTCGTACTGTTGCTCGACCAGCAAACCACGCTCTCCGTGAACTTCCGCAAGTGCCGTCTCGCTAGTTCCGGTGCAGAAATGTTTTTCGCCAAGGGATGCATATGCTCAGGTCGGCCGAAGCGCACCAGATTAAACGTATAATTGTACTTCTGCTTCAGATACGACCTAATGACCAACAGCCTCGTCACGATCTCGTCGATGGCGGCGTTGGACGGGGCGCAAAGTAGAATCTTGTTCTTCTCACTCGCGTTACTGTGTTCTCGCTCGCCGTACAATATCTGCGCCACCAGGTTCACGATCACCTTGGACTTGCCCGTTCCTGGTGGGCCCTGAATCAGGCACAGCTTAGCCTGCTTCTTCATCACAGCGTCCGTCACTCTGAATACCGCCTCCAGCTGCTTCTGGTTCAGCTTGTCCTCCGTGATGAGCGAGTTGCACGTCAACGATGAGTTCAACGGCGGCAGTTGGTACTCGTGGACATTCGGCCTCAAGATCAACTCTGAGAGGGGCGACTGAGGGAAGTACTGCAGCGCCTGCACCATCCTCATGTTTGCCCGTAGATACATGACCGTGCGAACTCTGTGCACCCTGTTTAGAAGGATATTGCATTCGATAGGCCGCGTTTGTATGTTGTACGTTATCACTTGGTACGGGTTGCTCACGTACTGCCTCAAATCCTCGTTGTAACGTGTGAATTCCGTGATGACCGATTCGTGTTTGTGGATGATGTACGCAAACACTTTGTGGAAGGTCTGCCTACCGTTCGCATACATAACGTACTCGAAGGATACCAGATCGCCGAGTGTGGGGTGGTTTTGCCTCACCAGGTCTTCTCTCGTCACCAACACTTCGAGCATAAGGTTCGTCAGGAACAGGTTGGTCGCCGGGATCGGAACATGCGTGATGGAATTTGCGACAATGGAGCACATCGCGGTCACATGTCTCGCGTTTCTTTCGATCATCTCGAACTCCTTGTTGATGGTGTGCCAAGTTTCGAGCAACATGACGGGCAATACCACATCGTAGTAGTGCCGGAACGAGTCGTAACGTACCTTCAACGGTTGCAATTCATCCTGCGGCACAATCGGCGGCTCGCTCCTTAGGTAGCGCTGTTCTTCGAGCCACACGGGGTTCCACATGAAGATGCGTAGCAGGTACTCTTCTAGTTTCGGGCTCCATTCCGGATGGGTCTTCTCAGTCCTGACCAACTTATCCGTGGGTATCGGCGCGTCCTTTCCGATCAGCTTCTTCAGCGTGTTCTCCGACTCGATTTCGTACTCTCTGATGTCCACCTCGCCGGAGAAGCATACGTTTTTGTTTTTCTTCGTTTTCGTCAGCTTCACCGAGTGATTGTTCTTCAAGGCAGAAGAACATTCTTCAGATTTGTCGGGCAATTCCGACACCGTCGCTGCAGTGACGTCGCTTCTATCTTCAACGCTCTGGTGTTTCAGCGTTGGAGCAACGTTATCCGCCGCATTTTTAAACGCGTCCTCTCTCTGCGATTTCCTCGCCTCTACGTCGTCAATCATGGATTCCGTTACAGCTGACTCAGCTTCGCGCGCTGACGTTGCACGATTGCCCTTGTCGTTGCTTGGCTTTGTTCTCTCCGCGGATTTGCTCGTTGACGGTTTAGGCGCACGCACCTCTTGCTCGTTGCACAGAAAGTCGCCCCGATTCTTCAACGTTATCTTGACTCTTGGTTTACCGGGGCCACGTTTTATGTTTTTGTTATTCTCGGGGCGTGTCTCTTCGGCGATCTTTTTCAATTTCGCCTTCCTCTCCTCTGCTATGATCTTCTTCTCCTTCTTAGAGATGGATGATTTGCTTGACGAGGTATTATCGGGCGAGCCTCTGGACGACCCTTTGCCTTGTCTTTGGTCTTTGTTATAAAAGTGATCATCCATTTTTTCCTTCAGTCTCTGGGTCTTTTCCTCCGCTGCTGAGTTAGATGATAATTTCTCCTCGTTTCCGGGTATCTTGGATGCTTTACTACTTCGATCCTTGTTGGAGTCCTTGCTAAAATCCCCTCTGAGATCTCTGCTCTTAGGTCGGCCTCTTCTTGATGAAGGTAGATATGGCGGCTCTATTAGCGGAATAGCTCTTTTGGTTGCTATGGCCAACCTCGACTTATGTTTCGCACTGGTCAGCGGCGACGTATTATTACTGGATGTTTCTGTCTGTTTGTGTGACTCTGCACTTTGCTTAGCATCTGTTTTCTGTTTAGCTGCATGATCAATGCTTTCTGAATTAGGTTCGTTGGATAAATCAGCATTATCTACATCCATCTCGCTCATTCCCGCCGCTAATAAATTAGTATTGTTGTCGTCGGCAGTGCTTGTAGTTGTACGTTCGCGAGGTATTTCTTTGCGGACAGACTCTTCGGAAATACCAACGTCAGCCATTTCGTTCAAGTCTTTGGAAGTACTCGGTATCGTATCCTGTATCATCTTCGAAACGTCATCTTCTTGCCAAGTCCCCAGATCTACCTCTTCTTTTACAATCGACGCAACTTTATCCTCTTGTCCTTTCTCTATCAATTCGTCCTTATTTTCGTTGAATAGTTGACTCCTGGACAATCGTTGCAGCCATGGATTATCATCGTCTTCACTGTCTGTCAATACAATGACCTCATCGTTCATGTCTGTCGACTCGACTTTCTCGGTGTCGTTGCTGATATATTCTTGTTTAATCTCCACTTCCTGCTTCACTTTGTCTTCAAACTTAATATCGAATAGCTGGGAATACGGAAATATCCCGTCCTCGTTGTCACTGAGATTGACAACGTCGATCTCCGAGAAACGCGTCTTCGGTTCATGCTTGATCTTCTTCAACTTAATCGGTGTCGTTTTACAAATTACTTTGTTGCTTGTACTGGCGACCGCTAAGAGTGCTTCTTCATCTTCATCCGTTAACTGCAACTCATCTTCAACCTTAATAACTTGGTCACCACTAGATGTAAATGTTGGCCCTTTTGGGTATGCTGTGTCATTCGTTCTATCGAAACTATCCGTTTTTTCTCTCGTAATATGTTCTTTGTTTACAGTCTTGCTACTGCTCTCTTTAGCTTTGTTATCCGCATCAATGTCCATTTTCTTGTCAGCTTGGTAATTCTCTCTTGGTCTTATGTTGTCGGTTAAATACGTTTCATATTTAAGAATATGACTTCCAATGTCCCACTCCTTTTTCTCAGGGTATGTCGTGTGAATTATTTCAACATCATTTTCCTCCTTTATATGTACTGCAGTGTCAAATGCAGCTCTTATATTATTTATATTACTTTTATTATTATGGCACGAAATATTTGTGTTAGTACTAGGACCAGGAAGACTATCAGGGTTATTTTCTGTAACAAAAATTTATTTAATTTGGAGACAGAATCCTCAAAAAGCTCACAAGTAAACCTCGGGAAACGTCAGACACCGATTTTTTTCAATTTTTTATACCAAAATATGAAGAAATCTATTATCATTTTTAGCTTAAATTAATCTTTTCGAAATTTTTGAGGTTTTGCACAAGTACACTATTTTATACATATTTAAAACAATATTTCTTAAAAATATATATATCTGATTTCTTGAAACTTGCACACACATGTCGCCGATTATGAATCAGAAGCATTTTGTAAAATTCAAAATGGCGGATCTAATATGGTTGACGTTATTGTTGAAAAAGTGTTCAGTTTTATGCTACATTCGACATTGGGTAATCTTTCGGCTCACTATCCAGCAAACAAGCTCATTTTAATGTCAAAATCTGGTAAAAATGAACAAGAAATGAACAGAAAAAAGAAGAAAAAATTTTTTGCAGAAGAGTAACATAGAAGAGTGCAGAAAAGTTGGGTAACTGTCGTTACCCAACGTCGAATGTAGCGTAAAACTGAACACTTTTTCAACAATGACGTCAGCCATATTAGATCCGCCATTTCGAATTTTACAAAATGCTTTTGATTCATAATTCGCGACATGTATGTACAAGTTTCAACAAATCAGATATATATATTTTTAAGAAATATTATTTTAAATGTATAAAATAGTGTACTTGTGCAAAACTTCAAAAATTTTGAAAAAATTAATTTAAGCTAAAAATGATAAGATTTCTTCATATTTTGACATAAAAAATAACTATAAAAAATTGGAAACAAATCAGCATCTGACGTTTCCTGAGGTTTACTTGTCAGAAGATAATAAATTATAATTTCAATATTTCTTACATTTCTCTAATCTCTATTTTTGAGAAAAAAAGGATTTAGATATTAACATGAAAACATTAAAGGATTGAGGTATTAACATGAAAAGTGTCATTACCATCATTATCGAAGTATTTTGGTATTTTACATGGCAACGCTGCATCACAATTATTTGGGGGGATTCCATGTTTTTCTCCCAAAACACGAGAATTTATATCTACATGGGAATCAGATCGTCTTTGGTGCATTGTTGTATCACAAATCGTAACTGTTGACGACAAATCACTAGTATTCATTACTTCAATGGGATCAGTTGTCTGAGAAAATTTTAATATTCTACATAATAGGAAGAAACATTCATTATCCTACAAACATTAGCAGTAGTCATGAAAAAATATTATACCCTTGTAATGCAAACTTTGTATGCAAATAATGTGCTATCACTTGGGTTAATATCTGCACATCCAATCCCAATAATATCATTCTGACATAGCTGCACCATCTGATAAGGTTTCTGTACTATACCATTGATGAAAATTCCATTTGAACTCTAAAGATATACATACGAACCGAGGTTTAATATTTTATTAAACAATTTTACAATTTTACTAAACTCTGTTAGCATGGAAATATGATATGTATATACCTTCAAATCTGTGACAAATAATTTGTCTACAGCATGGAAGAAAACACAGTGTTCGCGGGATACTTGTAGACCAAGGCATACAATTGTATTTCCTTTACCTCTACCACAGGTGTACTAAAAAACCACAAAGAATAGAATGTGTGATTATCCATAACAGTTTAGTTTCATGGTACAAAATATATATATATATAGCATACATATAAATTATAAATGGAGATACAAAAAGGATGAGTAGCAGTGTCCTCTCTATAGAGACACAATGTTGCAAATTTATTTAACTCGCTGTTATGATATTGGCAATGAATATGTACGATATTTATTGAAATAGATCAGAACTATAAGATTGGATAAGATTTAATACTCAAGAATAGTAACAGAATATATATATACAATATATATATATAAAGATACGACAAAATTAATAGTAATTTAGTATATACATGTAACTTATACCGACACCTTACAGTTATACAAGTATATATAATTTTTTGTAGGTAAGAAAAGAATCATATTTCTAGCAAATATTAAATTAAAATTATAAGTATGAGAGAGGCTCATTAATATTCAATCAAAATTACATTCAATTAGATTGATATTTAGTTGAAATAGTAGATATGGAGCTCATTGATATTCAATAAAAAAACTTCTGCAAGCCACTTTTAGAGTTACTTTCTGTGATGAAGGAGAGTTCAGAATAGAGAGTTCAGGCCCTTATCTATTTCAGTAGTCTTATCTAATCTTCTGATCTATTTCAATAAATATCGTACATATTCATTGCCAATATCATAACAGCGAGTTAAACAAATTTGCAACATTGTGTCTCTATATAGAGAGGATACTGCTACTCATCCTTTTTGTATCTCCATCTAGAATGCAAATAGCAACATTTCTTCGAAGAATGTTACATAACAGTGTAAACAAGTGTTCAAGAAAATGAGGATGAGTTTCAGTCGGTTCATCTAACGAAATTCTGCATGTTATGCAGTTTCGTGTTATCTGCCTAGTGACAACTCCTTTACTATGACACAAAGGTTAAGCCTCTCACAGTAAATCAAAGAACACCCATGTTTATTCACTCTTTCGGAATGTATGAGTGGATGTAGATTAGATTATAACCGCTTACGGATTTGCCGCATTCGAGAACGATTCTTTGTTCAACGTGCAACCGTTCCAGCGTGAAATCCATCATCGTTAAAATTCGCGCAGCTTCAAACGCAATATCCCGTACCACTCTCACGACATCAAGTTCTCGCACAAGTGAGCAAAAAGCAACAGTTTCGCGCGCGCGTCGGAGTTTCTCATATGATGCTATCGACTCGCGAAGCCGCCGCTGTACCCATACCGGTAATATAGAAACCAACATATCGACTACTGGTAATTGCAAGAGAAGAAAAAAACACGAAAAAGCTAATTGTCATTTATATGTGTACTTAATTTGTTTATTTCCGACGAAAGATTCGCTTTCTTACACTGCGAACTCTCTGTGCTTCTTTTCCGATTCTATTGTCTTTCACTCCCGTAGCCACTTTGTGCACGGTTTGTGACCGTTGCATTGTTGTCGCAACATTGTTTGACAGGAGTAATAACATGCAAGATATAACAGAATAACTAATATAACAACACCGTTAAAAAATAGAGCTCACCAACTGCCTTGAGTTTATAACACGCACAATAGAAAAAAAGACTACTTACCAAAGGATTCGTCAAAGAAACAAAAGATGCTTCTAATCTCTAATCTCCAATTTCTAATCTCCAGTAGATAGCTAGGAACATTCGAGTTTTGTTCCACGCGCCATTCTACAACAAATGATAGGCCTGGGTATCAATCATGAATCTTTTCTCCTAGCATGAACTCGTGAAATAAGTAAACATTTCCATATGCTTTTACATTAGAAAATTTTCACTTTTCACGAGTTCACGTTAAAGGAAAATATTCATGCTTGAAGAACTATGAAACTACTGCACGTTAGTGCCATAAGTTGGAGTGAAAGAAGATATGTTTCATTCTAACTTATTACACTAGTGCACAAATCCCTCGAAAACGAGTAGATCAACAACGCACAACAAGCACGATAATCGGTCCATGTTTCCACTAATATTAATCTCCAATCTCCAATAAGAGGGGGAATCCTAACTCGACACAGTGCGATTGGCCAGTCAAATTAGTTAGTTAAGTTAGGTTTAATTTGGACTAGGTTAAATTTGAGCAATATTATTGGTTGCGTTCAGAAAACAAAGCGTTCACTGAGCGCTTAGTAACTATTGGTCCTTACTGTAAAGGCTCGTCTACAATAGCTGTAAGAGTAAGGCTGTAAGGCTGTAACGTAAGCTATCAGCGAATGAAAATATTTCATTTCATGTCTTGCAACCTTACAGCCTTACTCTTACAGCTAATGTAGACGAGCCTTTAGATTCTTATTTTCAGATCAATAACGTTGACGAATTACTCAACCGTTGTGTAACCGTTGTATTTTCTGAACGCAGCCAGTGATTGTGTTTAATTGCAACTTAGTCGATCAGGTCCCATCCACAATAAAACCATACCATACCATACAGGTTGCAAGCTTGGTTGCGGTTGAGGTTAAGGCCAGGTTTACAATAGGTGTAGTAAGTGTTACGTCCTAGGTACCTATTAAGGTCATTCTACAATGAGGTTGTAGTAGTATGCAGTAGGCAAATTGACCAATCACGATCGATTGTTCTCTTCACGATCGAAGAAAAATCGACTGTGATTGATCAATTTGCCTACTGCATACTACTACAACCTCATTGTAGAATGACCTTTATGGAACTTGTCGGAATCGATTTCGATCGAATTTATTCCGTTATTTCCTAGATTTCTATTGTCTTTTCTAGGGGAAACGGAATTATTCCGATCGGAATCGATTCCGACGAGTTCCATGATAGGTACCCAGGACAAGCATAGAACATGCAATGTCTAGATTCGTTTAGTTTACTTCGGATCAGCGCTATTCTTGTCCAAATCTTTATTATTTGAATCTATTACCTTTGGAGGTGGGTTACTGTTAGGTTTAAAAATAATAATATTCTCGTGTTACGTCCTAGAGGAGGAACGCAACTTAACGCTTGCTTTCACAATCTCCGACGTACTCGCAAGTCTACGGTGCAGATCAAGGATCGGAATGACCCTTTATCTGGCGCGGACGTACGTCGGTGGTCCTTTATTTAGGTCAAGAAACTGAATCCTTTTACCAGGGCCTCAATTCTGTACACGCTTACCGACAACTATCGGTGTCGTTAACTATTGCGCAGCTTTTGTATATCGTAGAAAACCTGCGCAACTCCGTTAACGATATCGATAGTTGTCGGTAAGCGTGTACAGAATTGAGGACCTGGGATAGAACCGTGAGCGACAGTTGGGGGAAGGGAGAATTTTTTGTTGATAATAATTAGTTGGAAAACGTGATTGGCTTATAATTACAAATAATTTGTTTTATTGATGATTAAGCGGAAGTTCACAATGAAATAAAATTTGTACGATTTTATAATGTGTACGTATATAAATGTATAAACAATCGCGGTCTGAGCAAAATTCCGTGTTTGTTACGTCCGACTGTGATCGAAAAGATTGGGCCACTGACACTGGATTTTACAATTAAGGAGGAATGCCAAGGGGGATAGGAAAAAGGAAGAAAAAGGAAAGGAAAAGAAAAGAGAGAGAAAAAAAGATGAAAAAAAAAATGAAAAATAAAAAAGAGGGCACTCAGGAGAAAATATAAATAACTTACTGCTGGTTCTCTGATCTTAGTCGACAATGAAAAATGTAATTGCTGGGTGTCTGTGAGGATGGACCCAAGTTTTGCGCCAAGAATAGGAAGCTGGTTTCGGCAGGATCGCTCGCAATGCCCCAAGAATGCACGAGATCGTTGCACAGAGTAATTAACGATTGAAGAAATACTGTTCTGTCTAAGCCGCTAGTAGGCTAGATTGTTAGGAGACCCTGAAGGGGTGCTGGAGAGAAGCTTCTGTTCTGGCTGCGGGTCGGTCGAGAAGTGAGCTGGCCTTTTGGCTTTTCTCAAAACGTTAGCTCGGTTGAGAGGATGGGGTGGTGGAAATTGCGTCAGGGGTCTAAGATCCATGTCCATCTGTTAGAACTTTGTTGTTGACATTTTCGGAGGTGGGGTTTTAGAGTTGCGTCAGGAGTCTAAGGTTTATTGGAACTTTTGTTGATAACATTTCCAAAGGGATTTTGGAGATATGTTGCAATATCTCTAAGATAATTGTCATGACGGGACGTGGAAAAGTTGTGAGTTCGTGAGGATTAACGAAATCAGATATCGACTAGTCAGTCCGGAAAGTGACTCAGCGGATCTTTCTGACAAACAACTAGAGGACTTTGGTCTAGGGGGAGATAAAAAAAGAGAGATCGGTATGTGGCGTCATCGTGCTCGAAGGGTCGCGGAACATGTTCGTTGAATATAACATTTGAACTATAGCGAGCAACATAAAATCAATTCGCTCTATTATAAAAGAATCTAGAAAACGCGGAGTCCGCAGGACGTAACACTCGCTAGTGTTGAATTTAACTTCAAATATATTTCTCTTTATTTCAGATTTTATTCTCAGGACCGAAGATTTTGATGAATCTGTTTTGAAAACAGCCAGGTCGAGCGTGCTTGGGTTATAATAACTTTTTAACAGACGTATAAATTGAATCCGCCGTCCGGCTCTCCTTGTTCTTTTCGGCATAAGAAGTTTTTGGTAATACTTATTTTAACAATATCTATAATAGGGTAGATAGAAGAGACGTGGTTAAGTTTAAAGAATAAAAAGGCGAACAGTGTTCGTGGTTTAAGCACTATCGTTCTTAGGGAAATGAGGAAGAATGGTGCTCGTGGTTCAAGCACGACACTCTTATGCCCGTTTCCTCCAAATTGGTTCAATTCTGAGTTCCTGTAAACTGCGTTCAATTGTGAACGGAGTTTAACTTTCAGTCAACTTATTTTGCTTTTCATCAACTTTACCTTCGTTCCGATCAGCTGAACGTACACTCAGAGGCAGGTATGGTGTCCCTCGGCGATGTCGTATACGCCTGTAAAACAATCGAAACCGATGACAGGTATATACGCATACGCATATGGGCGTACTGTACAGCGCGAGAGAAGCGAAGAAGGAGAAGTGGTGGGAGACGTTCCGATGTTGCATCCTTATCGCACGTCGCACGATCGAGAGAAAAAGCATTACCAGACGTGGTACGGTTAATGGTGTCCCCAATAGCTGTCTCATTCACTCTACGCTTGAATGCAGGCAATATGAGTGAGATAGCTATAGAAACACCGCGCTGTCTCTATAGGTGTCTCGCTCGCTCTAATAGCCATGTATCGCGCTTTCCTCTTTTCTTCTTAGCAGAAATGCCGATTAAGGAGGCAATCCTGTCGGTAGACCAGAAAAATAAGCTATTTTCGCGAATTTTTTTTTTCGGAAACTAAGCAGACGATTGATTTCAAACTTGATAAAAATAATAATATATATTTTATTGATGAGAATGAATTTTTATGGCGTTATAAAACAGAAAAGCGCAATACATTTTTTATGTCGTAAGATATGTCAAATTGCGAGCATAAATGCCATTGGCTATTACAGCGAATGAGACACCTATAGAGATAGCGCGGTGCATATAAAAAATTAATATTTTTTTATTTCGCTAGTTCACACGATAGATAGACATGTTTCGAATATGTAATTAGATGCTGAAGTCGATCGATCGACTCTTTTATATAAAAAAAAGTTTTTTCTCTGATTCCAGGAGATGCTATATAGCGTCTCGTTATTATTATTGTAATTTTTATTATTATTAAATGTCTCCTAATTTTTTTTTTATATTTTCAAGAGCGGAGCCTATATTTTAAACATTTTAAGGAAGATGTTGCATTTATTCTCCCTCCTTCTCATAGTCTTTTCAAAAGTAAAAATATGTTGCGTCTAAAAAGAATTGCACAATTTGACATATTTTACGGCATAAAATAAGTTTTTTTGTAAATTTTATAAAATATCGTTTTCTTGCAAATAAAATATTCTTAACGTAAAATCATCGATATTTATGACGATTTTTCAAATATAATTTTTAAATGCCTTAAAATATTAAAAAAGTAGTTCGTTTTTTATTTTCTTAATTCAAACGAGTTAGCGGCAAGTTCGTAGATTAATTATTTTACTTGCGTTTTTGTCCCAGTCTATCGTATTTCGAGATTTTATAGGAACCGTGAAACGGCGCGCGCCTAAACACGTCACGTCATTTTTTGTATATTTGCTACATTATTATTCATATAACGCTATAAAAATTCATTCTCATCAATAAAATATATATTATTATTTTTATCAAGTTTGAAATCAATCGTCTGCTTAGTTTCCGAAAAAAAAATTCGCGAAAATAGCTTATTTTTCTGGTCTACAGACAGGATTGCCTCCTTAATCAGCATTTTTGCTAAGAAGAAAAGAGGAAAGCGCGATACATGGCTATTAGAGCGAGCGAGATACCTATAGAGACAGCGCGGTGTTTCTATAGCTGTCTCACTCATATTGCCTGCATTCAAGCGTAGAGTGAATGAGACAGCTATTGGGGACACCATTAACCGTACCACGTCTGGTAATGCTTTCTCTCTCGATCGTGCGACATGCGATAAGGATGCAACATCGGAACGTCTCCCACCACTTCTCCTTCTTCGCTTCTTTCGCGCTGTACAGTACGCCCATATGCGTATACGTATATGCCTGTCATCGGTTTCGATTGTTTTACAGGCGTATACGGCATTGCCGAGGGACACCATATCTGCCTCTGAGTGTACACCTTATGCTAACTAAAATTATGTTTGTACCGAGTGATGTAATTGGTGCATAGCACTAAAAAGTGTATAAGTAGTAGTGTAAATATCAGGGCCGTTGAACTCCCGTATATATTTAGACCCAGTTCCACAACTTGCTTTAAACGGAGTTTAAAGCAAGTTGTGGAACTGGGCCTTAGCGTCCAACGTTTGTGGCGCTCTCTGAAATTTCTTCGGTGGTATTAAATTCAATATGACGTCATATGTCAATGTGTGTGTATGTACAGCTGTCTATGCACACATATTAACATGTATGTGCGTGTAGTATATACAGGGTGTCTCAGAACTTTGGGACACGGGCTCCGTAGGGACATAGAACTAAGTGAGAGGAACAAAAAATTCCTCTACCATAATGTGAAAGTCGTAATAGTTTTTTAATAATAACCGCGTAAAGTTTGGCGTTTTCCACGCCCATCGCGGCCTATAGACGCTCCGCGGCAAGCTATGTGCATAGGAGCTGAGAGATAACGCGGCTCGCGCTGACTGTCGCGATGGCGCTTTGACGCCGCGCGATGGTCAGCGCGAGCCGCGTTATCGCTCAACTCCTATGCACACAGCTTGCCACTTTATCGCTCAGCTCCTATGCACACAGCTTGCCGCGGAGCGTCTATAGGCCGCGATGGGCGTGGAAAACGCCAAACTTTACGCGGTTATTATAAAAAACTATTACGATTTTCACATTATGGTAGAAGACTTTTTTGTTCTTCTCACTTAGCTCTATGTCCCTACGGAGCCCGTGTCCCAAAGTTTTGAGACACCCTGTATAGGAAATACGAGGAATATTAATGCGAAGTAAAAATGCAGAAAATAATGTGTGAAATGTATATATTTGACGAAAAAAATGTAAATATGTATACATAAAGAAAATATTAATACCTTAAACATAAATATAAGGACAATAATTTGTTAATAATACTAAATTTTATAGTAATATTAAAAGAAATTTGTAATAAAATTATATATATTATCGCTGTCCCTAAAATGGTTGTAGCATACTCATAACTTTTTCTCCTCAGGTCCCTCCACTGGCTCCATTTTCAAATTCTTGAACCATTGTAGCCTACGTTCAGCATTTCGTGGGAATTTATGCGATGGCTGTCTTCTCTGTCGAACATCCTGGTACACAACATACTCGTGCCATCTTGATTTCACTGTTATGAGACCTATAAAAAATATAAACCTGTATTTAGTTAAACAGATATTTGCATCATCAGTACACAATATTACAGTATCACGCATACTCAAATAAAACAAGTTGTTTGTCGCTAACAGGGAAAAGATTTTGGTGGTTCTTGAGTAACTGTTTCTTCTTGTTTTTTCTTCTTCCCTTGTTGAAGTCTTCTTGTAGTCCTTCTGCGAGAGAGAGAGAGAGAGAGAGAGAGAGAAAGAGAGTACATAAATATCTTCATAAATTATATATATATATATATAGAGTAGATTCCATGAAGAAATTTTAGCTATCTATGTCTGCATGCAGCTCATGTTCAAAAAGCAACCAGCTAATATAACATGATTTGACATTACGTTCAAGGATAGTCATAACATATTCTTTTTGTTTTCAGTCATTAATCTGCTAAAATAGCTCGTTCACAAGGTGTATCAAATTTTTTAGCAGCAGATTAACAGTAGAAACTAAGCACAAACTTCATGCAGGCATGCATCGCTAAGAATTTCTGCAATCTTTATCAAACTTGCTCTTGCTATGTTAGTATATTGCAAAGCTTACTTTTATTTTTTACTTATTAGTCTCTGTTAGTAAAAAGTGGACAATTATACTAATGCATAATATTTATATATAAATACAATACAATATATAAAAACAAAACTTACACTTTGGTTGTCATTACTGGCAGTAATACTAAAAGTTTTTGGTAATTATCCAGTTTAGGGGCTCCGCCTTAGAATTCGATAAAAATAGACTCAATCAACGCGTTTTTTAATAAGGAGCAACTTTTTCCTCTGCGAAAATTGCCGCTCTTCACTGCGAAACGAAATAAAAATAGTTAAAGTTGAATGGTATAATAGGTTAAGAAACCTGTCAAGATTCCGGATGGGTTCGCAACTTTCCACGCGCAACGAGAACGGGAGGGTGCGGGAGGGGCGCCCCCCTCGCACCCCCCGTGTGTGTGTGTGTGTGTGTACATATGTTTGAGGCATTTTTATTTATTAAACCAACGAATATTGTACACTCATTAATTTAGTAAAGCAGAAAATTTTAGTACAATTTTAATAAGGTGAATATCTTTCATCAAATGTCATTAACTTATCAGTTTCGTCATAAAAAAATTATTAACAATTAAAGATCATAACTATCGATTCCACATTTATTTTTAATTTTTTAAATTTATCTTATTAAAATTGTACTAAAATTTTCTGCTTTACTAAATTAATGAGTGTACAATATTCGTTGGTTTAATAAATAAAAATGCCTCAAACATATGTACAAACACACACACACGGCGGGGTGCGAGGGGGGCCCCCCTCCCGCACCCTCCCGTTCTCGTTGCGCGTGGAAAGTTGCGAACCCATCCGGAATCTTGACAGGTTTCCTAACCTATTATACCAGTCAACTTTAACTATTTTTATTTCGTTTCGCAGTGAAGAGCGACAATTTTCGCAGAGGAAAAAGTTGCTCCTTATTAAAAAACGCATTGATTGAGTCTATTTTTATCGAATTCTAAGGCGGAGCCCCTAAACTGGATAATTACCAAGTTTTTCCTTCTCGCACCTGCTTCTTCTCGTGCTTCTTCCTTGTAACACCTCTTCTAACACTTTTTTTTTTTTATTGAAAAGCATTAAAGCGAACGCAACTGTAGCAATATGGCAGCCACAAATTAAGTCAGCGGCACACGGTGCTTGTTTTCGTGCTGGATTGCTTGTGGATGAAAATACTGCGTTCTGATTGGTATATTTTCGAAGATGGATGGAAATGCACCAATCAGAATGCAATATTTTCATCCAGCAAGCAATCCAGCACGAAAACAAGCACCGTATGCCGCTGGCTTTAGTTCCGATTTCTTACATCTCAGAATCCCATGTCCCATCTCAGAGAGCGCTTCTAACGCTAATCATTTTCACTCCATAAAGCCAGCGGCACACGGTGCTTGTTTTCGTGCTGGATTGCTTGCTGGATGAAAATACTACGTTCTGATTGGTATATTTTCGAAGATGGATGGAAATGCACCAATCAGAACGCAGTATTTTTATCCAGCAAGCAATCCAGCACAAAAACAAGCACCGTGTGCCGCTGGCTTTACTTAACTCGACCCAACCCTGGACATTTCGGAAGCACCCAGAGAGGAACGTGAGAGCGGCCAACACGGCGTTTTCGACGGCACCGACTTTCCGCACTGGGAAAAGGTGCCATCTACATCCATTTTGAGAGGAGAACTACGATTATATTCACTTTCAGGTTTCGGCGGTAAAACCTGCATATGGTGACAGTCCGTGCTATATCCACTTTTAGGCGGTTTATATCCGTGCTACAACCATAATAGCGTACACTCGCGAGCATAAAGGTTTGTGACCGTTTTTTTGCAACTTTCGGAACGCATCCTGACTCGAGAAGAATGAGAGTCACTGCTCCGCCTGTGGAGCACGCCTGCGCAGTGACTCACGACGAAAGGCGAGAAATGAAATATACGCGGTGAGACATATTATAATAATACAGACTCAGATGAAATGAATACTCCAGTATTAAATGGAAATGAGGGAACACAGAACAGACAAGAATCATCCGATGTAAGTCTTATACTCCGAAGGACATCCGAAAAAGGTAAAATACGAACTTAATTAAGAGAATTAAGCTGCATTACGATAATTACGATTCGGTTATATATTTATATATGATTTATTGTTCCAGCAACAGCCATCTTCTATAGAAGAAGCAATGATATCTGCCAACCACGTGTCAATAACATTCCACTCATCTAGACCCATTTCTATGCAGCACTTTGTGTGATCGGACCACGGCTCAGGACATTCGCTTACGCAATAGTAGCAGTCGCAATAGTAGTACCAATGTAGATATCTTCTCACATCCATGATGCTCGCAGAAATTATCGAAACGTTCGAAGAGATCAAACTGTATTCATTCAAACTGTAACTCTTACATAGCTGAAAAAGCGACTCGACTGAAATACAGGGGAAAATTCTTGGAACTTACATTGTACGATATTTCTGCATCATTGTTAACACATAATTGTTCTAATTCTCCTAATTCCAGCGTGGAGTCACCGCCTTCTTTATTATTTGGGCGTCTTGGATCTTGTTGTAATCCTCTATGTAATAAACCTACAGGCATCATTAGATTATGTGATTATATGTGACAATATTACAAAATATCTATTATTGTAATAGGTTTATACTTTATTTTAAAGTACACGAATAAAAAGGGATTTACTAACCCCTTTGAAGAATTCACCGCCGCCGATGCCCGCAATGTTTACATCGCGCCGATTGTGTTGATCGGTTCGCGAGCGACGACACTTTTTGCCCTTCGTTTGACGTTTGACGAATTTTCCGGGAATAAGAAGTCGGAATTTCGCGCTCAGCATTCACGATCCGTCATCATCCGACTAGTAATCATAGACACTTTATGAATCTGCAATTACTCTCGTCAATCTCTGTCTGTCTATCTATTTATTGTGTTGTTGTACATGTTACGGTTAAAGTGATAAATCCAGTTACTATGCATAACAACCGGTTATTATGCATAATAACCAATAGTTTTGGTTAATTTGATAAATTATTCATATTTTTGTAATTAAAACCCACGCGTAAATTAAAAGCTCGTAAGCTGCACACACGGTTATTAAAACCCACACGTAAGTTGCAAATGCGTTTTATATCGCGCGCTGTGCGTGCTCAATTACGCGTAAGTTTTAATAACAGTGCGTGCAGCTTACGCACTTTTAACTTACGCGTAGGTTTAATTGTTCATAAAATCTTGGCGCGGCTGCACCAAAAACTATATCGAACTAAAACTTGTTTAATACATATATGACAGCATTTTTATTATAATATATTCTATAATGAAGGTTTATAATTTATTTATTATAATACTATATAAACTGAAATGAAACATTATACCGTATATGTATAAAGAGAATTTACAAGAACATTTTATTATAATAAAAATGCTGCCATATATGTATTAAATGAGTTTTAGTTATGTTATGTTAGGTTAGTTATAAGTTTTACTTGTAAAAAAACTTATGTACACATATATACAATAAAAAAATAATTTGAGTTTGATACTTCTAAAAATAACACAATACGTGTTACGCTTGTACTTGGCGCCTTTTTTTTACCTTTTTGTTTAAAAAGGTAAGTTTTATATAATATTAAATATACGTACGTTTCACGTATAACGTGATTGACTTGGAGTACTCCGTGTCCACGCGTGTTATTCATAGCGACGTATTCATACTTTCCCTGTGGTGCGATTCTTTAACTCGTTATTGGAGTTAACGACAGTTTCGTTATCGTTGCGCAGCTTTTCTACGGTATAGAAAAGCTGCGCAACGATAACGAAGGTGTCGTTAACTCCAATGACGAGTTAAAGAATCGCGCCGCTGATCTGTTACATCGGATTCGATAATCTGCAAGGCACCTGAAACATAAAATGTGATATTCTCGAACAGCGTTCTTCTCAGGATTTTCTTGTCCAAAGAAAGATCAATGATGCGATCGCAGATCTCGTCTATGTCATGTCAATAGAGACAGTTTGAATTCGGCGTAATATGATTCTTGGAACAGACGTAAACAAGTATTGTGAAGTTTGAAGCGAGTCTCTCACAGGCATTCTTTGAAAACACGAGTTGTTTTCATTTTCAGCTAACGGACGACGCAGGCATCAACACTGATCGGCAAGGTCAGCGACTGGTGGGGGTAACCGTGCCTTCCCGATTGTTTGTTTTCGTACGCTTATATATGACTCCGTGATTGCGGAAAGGACATTGCGCCTCGGGACGACGAACGACGCGCATACCGCGACGCAGAGTAATCGGTTAATACGCGTTTCTTTGTCCCCGAATCTTACTTGCGCGAGTGTTAGAGCTAGAGTCAGTATCGTCGCCAGTGCTACGATGGAGTATCCGGGGGTGCTGCGACGGAGTAACCAGAAGGAGGACGTCGGATCGAGAAGTCAGGATGCAGAGAAGACTTGGAGCGCGCCGAGAGACGTGGACAGCGATACATCATATATGGTATTCGAGGTACCTCGAGTCATTATTATTACGCAGGATTTTTCTGATTTTAACGGACCTTACTCGAAGTAAGGACATACCCGAGTCGAAATTAGATCAGCATTCATAGTTTATAATCTGAAAAATAATAAAATAGCTTGAGATTTGATTATTCGTTAACCTAATTTCACGTAACATGAGTTCTACTTTACTTTTCTCATAAAATATGAATGTCTATTCAAGCAAGGTTGCTAAGGCAAGCTAAGGTTTATGAATACAAATTTGTAATTATATTCTCAATGAAAAATTGCACATAATTTAAAAAACTATGAATAATGATCTTAGAATCTGATATAAATTTTACAAGTGTTGATTTTTATTCGTCTAATAATGCTCAGATTGCTGTTTCCCTTTAGAATCTGCTAGAATGTCCGTTTCTCATTCTTGTTTATCTTTCTTATTGTACCGAATCTGAATTAAAATCTCTATTAGTGAAACAGCATTATTAGACATAACCGTTGTCTTTTTGCAGCTTCAGCTCTTTTAAGAGCTACAATTCTCATCATTCTCATTAGAAAAAAGAAAAGAAAAAAAAGAGAAGAAAAAAGGAAAAAAGAACTTTAAGAATGATGAGAATAAAAAGTGTTTTTCATCTCCCATTTCCTCTAATTCTTATATGATTATTTAATCCTTATAAAGTTCACAATACTTGTAAATCCTTTATCTCACGCGCAGTTCTAACAAAGACAGTTCTATTTACGTGTTTATCTTTGTTCTCTTTCTTGCGCTGTTAAGCAAATATATAATCAATATCAACAAAAATTGCTCATTTAAATTAAGAATATAAGGATTAAGTACATATACATTATCGAGATAAACGAGTA